CTTTTTTAGTTTCTTACAGTAGAGCAGGAGCTGAAATTGTCTGATTTGAAACCTTGCTTTTTTTCCCCCTATTATTAGGACTTAAAGCATACATTTTCCTTTCAACAATGCTTTTGCAGTATCCCACAGATTTTAATATATTTTCTTTTAAATTCACTTTGATATATCTTTTATTTCTCTCACAGTTTCCTCTTTGACACAGATCATTTAGTAGTGGGTTGTTTAATTTTTAAGGTTTTCCTGGTTTTTTGTTTTTTCTTGTTACTGACTTCTAATTTGTTTCCATTATGGTTAGAATATCCTTTGTATGACTTCAATTACTACAAACTTGTTGAGATTTGCTCTACGAACTAAGATATTGTCTATCTTGGTGAATGAACATGTTTGACTGAAAAGAATCTGTATCCTGATTTTATTAAGTATTCTATAAATTTCAATTAGAGCCTATGGTTGATTGCACTGTTTCGTTCTTCCCTATTCCTGATGACTATTGCCTAGTGGTTATACGGATTATAAAGAGAAAGGGTCATTAACCCCCAACTACAACAGTGATTTTTTTCTCTTTTCTCCATTCAGTTTTTTCAGGTTTTGCTTTATTTATTTTGCACCTCTGTTAGATTAAGATTATTCTGTCTTCCCAGTGAATTGATCCTTCTATCATTTTGTACTGTCTCTTTGTCCCTGGTAGTTTTCTTTGCTCTGATATTGAATTTTTCTTATATTAGCACAATTAATAGTATTTATTTAAGGAAAAAATTATTCACAATATAATGACATGTTATTAATATAATTACCCTGTTTTTCTTTCATGTTTGCATAGCATATATTTTTCTATCTGTAAACCTCCCTATATCATCATATAGACAAGTGAGTTTGAAGTGAGTTTCATATAAACAACATATTGTTTTTTTTATTGTACAATTCTGCTAAACTCTATCTTGTAATTACTCATATACTAGGATTTAAGTCTGCCATTTTAGTATTTACTTTTGTGTTTGCTCCCTCTATTTTACCTGCCTCTATGTCCTTTTTCTTATTTTTCTTTCTTTTTTTTTGAGACAGAGTCTCGCTCTGTTGCCCAGACTGGAGTGCAGTGGTCGGATCTCAGCTCACTGTAAGCTCCGCCTCCCGGGTTTACGCCATTCTCCTGCCTCAGCCTCCCAAGTAGCTGGGACTACAGGCGCCTGCCACCTCGCCTGGCTAGTTTTTTGTATTTTTTTAGTAGAGACGGGGTTTCACCCCCTTTCTTATTTTTCTGTAGGTTATTTGAACATTTTTAGTATTCTATTTTGACTTATAGTACTTTTTATTACATCACTTTATGTAATATCTTAATGATTGCTCTAGAGATTGCAGTACACATATGGAGCTGCTCAGTCTACTGGTATTACATTTTTGTTGTTGTTGTTTTTCGAGACAGAGTCTCGCTCTGTCGCCCAGGCTGGAGTGCATTGGCGCGACCTCGGCTCACTGCAAGCTCTGCCTCCCTGGTTCACACCATTCTCCTGCCTCAGCCTCACGAGTAGCTTGGGACTACAGACACACGCCACCACATCTGGCTAATTTTTTTGTATTTTTAGTAGAGACAGAGTTTCACCATGTTAGCTAGGATGGTCTCGATCTCCTGACCTCATGATCTGCCCACCTTGGCCTCCCAAAGTGCTGGGATTACAGGCGTGAGCCACCACACCCAGCCGAATGTTTTAATACTTAAAATAGAATGTAATTACTCTATCATAATTTATGTCCTTTTCCCTCTCCACTTTATAAAACAGTTTTTTTTTTTTTTTTAGATGGAGTTTTGCTCTCATCACCCAGGGTAGAGTGCAATGGCACAACCTTGGCTTACTGCAACCTCCGCCTCCCAGGTTCAAGCGATTCTCCTGTCTCAGCCTCCCATGTAGCTGGGAATACAAGCATGCAACACCATGCCTGGCTAATTTTTCTATTTTTAGTAGAGACAGGGTTTCACCATGTTGGCCAGGCTAGTCTCAAACTCCTGACCTCAGGTGATCCACCCACCTCGGCCTCCCAAAGTGCTGGGATTACAGGCGTGAGCCACCACACCCGGCCAACAGTTTTCTTAAATATTAATTCAACATACACTGAGAATTGTATCAACATTATAATTTTTGCTTTGTATTATCAAACATAACTTTAAAAACTGAAGAGAGAATTAATCTACCCTTTCCATTGCTTTCTTCATTCCTAATGTTCCAAGTATCCTGTTGTCACTTCCTTTCTTTCTGAACAACTTCCTTTATAGTCATTCTTTTATAACCAATCTCCTGTCAACAAATTTTCTTACTTTCCTCCTTCTGATATGGGTTGACTACCCCTTCATTCCTGAAGCATATTTTTGCTGGATACACAATTCAGGATAATCTGCTGGTTTTTTTTTTTTTTTTTCTTTAAGCAGTTGAAAAATGATAGGATACTTCCTGTCTGCCATACTTTCTGATGAGAAACCTGTTACTCAAATTGTTGTCACAGGTAATGTGTTAAATGTCCTCTAGCTACTTTCAAGATTTCTTGTTTGGCTTTAATTTTCAGAATTTGGACTATGATGTGTCTGAGTATGGATTTCTTTGGAGTTTTCCCATTTGGAGTTCACTAAGCTTCCTGAATCTAAGATGCTTATGTCTTCTGCCAAACTGGGAAATTTCAGCCATTATTTCATTTAAAAAAAAAAGAAAAAAAAATTTTTTTTTTTTACTCCACATCCTGTCCTCTCTATCTAGTATTCTGAGGCTACAGTGTTACATCTTATCTTATTGTCCCACAGGTCTCTGGAAGCAGAGCTCATTTTTTCTATTTTTCTCTCCATTATTTGTATGGGAGAATTTCTAGTGAACTATCTTCAAATTGACCAATTCATTTCTCTATAATTTCTATAGGCTGCTATTGAGCTTATATATTTTTAATTTTGGTTATTATATATTTCAGTTCTATCATTTTCATTTGGTTCTTTATAGTTTTTACTTTGTTCCTAAGGTTGTCTATGTTTGTTTGTTTCAAGAGTGTTTGTAATTGCTTGTTGAAGCATTTTTACAAAAGCTGTTTAAATGTCCTTGTCGATCATTCCACATCTGTGTCATCTCAGTATCAGCATCTGCTGAGTTTAGATTTTCCTGATTTTTCACACGACAAGTAATTCTGCACCATATCCTGAACATTATTGTACTATGACACTCTGGTTCCTATTTAAATCATCTATTTTAGCAAGTAGTCAACCTGCTTAAAACTGCAACCTTCTCACCTTTATGAGCTGTGGATGAATGTCAATCTAGTTATAAAAATCTCTGCAGTGCTTTTCTAATTTCCCTCATTTGTGTTATGTAGATGATATAACTTCACCCCACTATCTCCTCAGTTTGGGTTTGCGTGGGGACAAGCACTGCCTCATTTTAGCAGGGCAAGAATGGAAGACAGGGTACTATCCCACAGGGTCTGCCTCATCAATGCAGTGGGGAAGGGAGGGTGGAGTCAGAGTCTTGCCCACAGACTCAGCTGGGGAAAGTACAACAAGGAAAGTAGAAGTCAAGAGTTCCAACCACAGGTTTCTCTATGGAAAGTTACCTCCTCCTTACTTCATATTCCGCTGAGGTGGGGCACCACTTCATTACTATAGGGTAGGGGGTGAAAGTCTAATTTTCTGAGTTCCTCCCGGCCACCCGCCCCCACATTTTTCCAGATTTTTCCAGTTCATTCTACAGTCTCCACTGGAGAGGGGCATCCTCTTGTTACTGTAGGAGGGGGAGGATGTATGTATAAAACAGCACTGGTTATGGATGCCACTGCTGAAATGCCTGTTAAGGTAGGAGGGAAATACAGCTTTTATTGTGTGTTCTCTTAGAAAACAGTAAAGTATTACTAAAAAAGTTTCTGTCTTTTGGGGCTATCCTCTGGCTAGAGAGAACAGGCTTTCCTTGGCACTAATTTTCCTTTGTTGGTTTCTACCCACTGGCATTTCCAAGTTGTGTGCCTCTCTAGAGACCAGGTCAGGATATATGAAGGTAAGGAAAGGGAAAAAAGGAGAGAGAGAGAGAAAGAAAACTCATTTGATCCTGAGCCCCCAAATCCCTTGGCAGTTCATTCTCTTTTTTCTAACTTTCTGAGTTTTCCAGGAGGTGAATTATGTGCTTTATCCAGGGCTTTTTGTTGTATTAGTAGAAGTAAAATAAAATGTGTTTACTCCATATTGTCCAGTGTTCAAACCCTGTCACTTATTTTTAGTGTAGATATTATGATTATTTCTACATCTTATCACTCTCTACTTTCTAAGTTTTCTGAGAACTTTATTACTTTTTTATTAGGTTTCTATTACTTTTTTTTTAAGAGACAGGGTCTCATTCCTTAGCCTCCCAAGTAGCTAGGACTACAGGCACACACCACCATACCCAACTAAATTTTTAATTTTGTGTAGAGATGGTGGTCACCAAGGTAGTTTCAAACTCCTGGCCTTAAGCAATCCTCCTGCCTCAGCTTCCCAAAGCACTAGAATTACAGGTGTGAGCCACCATGCCTGGCTTCTATTACATTTTCTATTAATTTATTGGGCCAGCAAAGTGTCAGATATGACATATCCTTGAAGCTTAGTAGCTGCTATAAACTGTTAACACAATTTATTGGCCTTTATATCCACCATTAGGTTCACAAAAGATAAAAATAAATAACTCTCAAGTTGGTTCATTTGTTCTGTAATTATCTGTTTTATGAAAGCATCTGGGGACACAACAATGAGTAAGACAGCTAAGATCCCTGGTGCTATGTAACATATTCCAGCGACTGGAGTAGAGAAACTACAGGCATATGAACAATAATGTGTGCTCCTCAGGTTGAAAAAACTCAGTCTGCTATGTTTCAGTAAATACTAAGAATATACATTTGATAAACTGCAAATATTCAGAAATCTAAAACTGCATACTTAGCACAGGTTAATATTTTTACTTGGTACACTAAACTTTAATGATCCAATAAACCAGTAATCAACTACTTACCACATACAACTGTTTCCACAAACTTGCCCATTCTTGTAGAGTTGCCGTAACCTCAGTCACAATAGAATCTTCAAGTGGAACCACAGTTTCATACTGCCTAGAACCAGAGCCACAAAAGACAGCCATATTATCTCTGAAAAAAATCTCAGCAAACTGTTTCCTGTCTTTTACTTGTTTAACTCACATTTTAAATTTATGCAAATAAAAAGTATATCTAATTATCAAAGACCTTTTTATAATGATATACTGCAACAGTCAAAGTGAACTGAATTAAAGAGATTTGGGTTTCACTGTATAAGTCCTCAGTTTTACTTTTTATAATACTATCCTTAAAACACACTTTTTTAAGAACAGTCTCTAAGCTTTTTTCCTTCAAGGAAAACCCATGATACTACCCAAGTCTTGCTCAGATTAATTTGTTTTAATTATTTATGTCCTTTAACATTTTTCTGCATGAAAGTTTGCTCATACCCTTGGTTTAAAAAAAAGATCTGGAAAAATGTGGGAGGTTGTGGCAGGGAGGAACCCACACAATTAAACTTTGAAAAGTGTAATGCATACTCCATTATATTGGTATTGTATTTCTTGCAACACAATGTCAGCAGAGGAATTCTAAGTCTGGTAGAGGAATTCTGAACCTGGTAACAGAAAGGTGCTTGGATTCTCTCTGACTACTTCATAAGCAGCATCCACTATAATGCCAGTCCCTGTGCCAACTGTCAAAAATTTATCAGTGAACAAAAATGAACAGGATTACTATCTTCAGAAAGGTCTTGGTCTGGACAGGGAATCAGACAGACATGGACAGTAATAAATCTAAAATGAAAATGAAAAGGTACTGATGTGGTTTGGCTGTGTCCCCACCCAAATCTCATCTTGACTTGTAGCTCCCATAATTCCCATGTGTTGTGGGAGAGACCCGGTGAGAGGTAATTGAATCATGGGGGCGGGTCTTTCCCAAGCTCTTCTCATAATAGTGAACGAGTCTCACAAGATCTGATGGTTTTTATAAAGAGGAGTTCCCGAGCACATGCTCTCTTGTCTGCTGCCATTAAGATGTGACTTTGCTCCTCCTTTGCCTTCCACTATGATTGCAAGGTCTCCCCAGCCACGAGGAACTGTGAGTCCATTAAATCTCTTCTTTATAAATTACCCAGTCTCAGATATGTCTTTATTTGCAGCATGAGAACAGACTAATACAGGTACAATGAAAGATTTTTAGCTGTGGTATACAATTTACAATGAGCAGATCAATAAACTCTTCTCTGAAGAAGTGTCAAGGCCCAATACATGCAAAAAAATCATGACATGAAAAGTGTGTGCAAAGGGAGAAAACGAGTTATGGTGCCACCTGCAAATGAGAAAAGTATGTAAGATGTCACTGAGTTGGAAAACAATTTCACACATCCAAGATGAAAAAAAGCTGGTATGACTGGGACCAGCTCTCATAGGACCTTTTCAAAAGACAGTAAAAATTCCAGATCTTAACACAAGTAACCTGAAAGAAAAGTTACTGAAAGCAGGAAGACTAACTTGACAATATTTCTATAATGTCTACACCAATGTTGAGGGTTAATAAAATACTTTATATGACCAAAGATTTGATATACTGATATACTGAGGTAACTTATACACATTTATTAGCCAAGGGGAATATCATCCATCTGAAAAAAAAAAAGTCCAGGAAAATATATTCCACAAAATTAGCATCAAGTATTATTTGTTTCTATAAGCAGCAGCTGACAAAGCACCACTGTGTTCAAAGATGACTCAGTGCATTAATATTGAGCATCAATGAATATATAAGTTATCTGATTATGCCTCATGGTTTTACTGTGTTCTTATTTTGTGTGACTTACCCCCACAGCTCACAAAAAGTCACCTTGAAATAATGCCATGGCATTATCTATATTCATCAAATTTACAAGCTCATTAATAGAAAAGCCTTCATCAAGGGCTTGTTAAGAGTAAAATGTGACAAAGGTAGTATCAGCAAGATGGCAGAAGAGGTGCTTTCTATTGTCACATGCCCCCAAGAAGCATCAATTTTCACAACAACTTGTGGACAAGAACACCTTTGTGGGAGTCTAGGAATCCCGCAGAAAAGTTTCAGCACACTACTGAGGCAAAAAACCCAGAACAGACGCAGTGGAGAGAGTAAGAAGTTTCATTTTACCTACATCACCCCTCCCACAAAGCAGCACAGCTCAACAAGAGAAACTCCATAACCCTGCAATTTCTCACAGTGGAAAGTAAAAGCACAATGATTAGGCACTCCACCAGCCATGTAAGACACTGCCCAAGAGACTCACTTTTCTCACCCCACCCCGAATATTGTGGTGATCAGCATGCTGAGTATTTAGGGAAGATGGGAGCAGGAAAATAACTGTGGTTTAATTTACTTTCATTTTTTGAAATAGATCATATTGATCTTCTCAGATGAAAAAGAGGAAGCTAATGATAAATGTCATAAGAAAGTCATGATGACTTGCTACACAAATTTAAATTGAATGAGAAGACATCCTTTATTTCTTCAAGCTACTGGTTAAAAGTTGCAATTTCTGAAGTTATTTCCATATACTACATCTTAAGAATGCTGTGGAGATAATTAGGAGATGTATAGAAACAATCAGGGAAATCACAATCTCAGTAACAAAACTTAAACATAAAGCACAAATAGATGCTATATGTGTGACATCAACTATAACATCTAATGTTCTAAAAAGGTTCACTGTAAACTGTTGCAGACAGATAAAGATTCATGAAGAAAGTGAAGTTACTAGAAGAGGCTTGCATCTGAAAGGTAAGCAGGTGGAGAGAGAGTCCTAAAGACCGTACTATGCTATAAAAAGTGGTACAGAAAAAATAATGAGCAAGGTATATTAAAGAGAATTCATGCTACTGATGGCAGCAGGCCATCTGTAGTGGGGAGGCGTGGGCGGTGGAGGCAGGAGTGGCTGCAAGAGCAGCAATAGCTGTGGTGAGTCTCCCGTGCCCTACCTCCAGGAGGCGGCTGACTGCACTGCCCTCACCCTTACACAGGCGGGCAGGACCCAGCCCCAGGCCCGGAGCCTCTGCGGCTCCAGAAACTCTCCCCAAGTTACTGCTCTCTCCTGCCACTGCTGCAGGGAGGGTGACGGGAGGAGGCAGTGTTGGAGCCACGCTTCAGGGGCCAGGGGCAGGAAGTGAGAGTGGTGCCCACTTCGGGGATCAGCCAGCAGTGCAGTCACCATGCCCACCTCGCAGAGAGCACTGGGTTCCTGCGCCTCTGGAGGAGGCTGTCTGCACAGGCCCGCCCAGGGTCACATGCCCAGGGTCGCATCCCAGGGTCTACCCCATATAGGTCTGCACGGTATCACTCCCAATGGCCGGACCAAGGCCTGCGATCCACTCCTAGAGATGCCCATCCTGGGCAGGGCCCCAAGCCAGGTGAGGGGGAGCTCTGGGCCGCCCCTGAGCACTGGAGCCACCGAGGGAGCTCGGGGAGACGTTGCCCCTGCCCTGGACACTGGCCGGGACCCAGCAAGGACCTGGAGCCCCAGCCCCAGGCTGTGAGGGAGCACAGTAGGGGCTGCATGCTCCAGGGGGCCAGGAGCTACAGGTAGCAGCCCCACCGTTTTGGGCATGGCTGCAGCTGCCCAAGTCAGGGTTGTGGACCTGGGCCTCCCTGGGCTCTTGGGGGGCAAGGAGTAGGCAGGAGCCTTGCACCAGTGAGGCTGCAGCTGCCCAAGTCGGGGCTGTGGATCCGGACCTCTGCACTCACTGCAAGGCAGTGAGATTTTAAATTTGACACTACGGAAATAGGGAAACGTGAGCGATGTTAAAGTAAGATTAATGTTTTAGTAAGATTAATGCAGAAATGATATGCAAGAGAAAGTAAAATACAATTTCCTTGGAGTTTCATCTATTAGGTCTTTGGCTACTTTAATCATTAAGATCTATAAAAAACTGAGATTGTTCCTATCTTACAGTTCTAAGACATAGGACTTCTGATAATTTGGCCTCAACTGCTAGTTTCCTCACTTCCTAGCTATGCTACTTTAGTAAAGGTATTTGAACTCTCAAAGCCTTGCCTTCCTCATCGGGAATAAGTGGATAATTCCACTATGAATCTGGGATACCAAAGTGTGATGTGGTTAAGTGTGAAGTACCAAATAAAATGATTAGTATATAGGATATTTAATAAATGGTAGCTGTTGTTGACTCTCAATCTTTAATTTTCATTGCTTACAATTAAGCAAAGAGTTTCTAGAATAAAATGTCAAAATCAGCTAGATTTTATATTGTACTTTAAATATATTTTTTACAGATGTCTTATCAAAATAGCTCAGTAAATTCTTATTTTGACATATTTCCTCAGCTCCAAAGACACAGCAATTGTAGGTAAAATATAAATATTTTTGAGATCCAAAATAAAATAAATATCTCAGTACAGCAACAACAGAACAACAATGACAACAAAAAAAACACAGCAGTGAACGAGGGTGAAATCACAGGTCTTCTAGACTCTGAAGTCTAAAGCCAGCACCGGTGACTAGGAATTTAAGGGGATAACAAGGAGGGAAAAAGTGCTCAAAATGAGATGGGAATCAAGGCCAGATTCACTGGTTGAAGTTTTGGAAAAGAAAGCCAACATGAAGCACAACACCAACTGCTATTAAACCTCATTTAGGACTATGGTTTTCAGCAAGCTGCAGGACTAAGGAGACTGGACCTTAAGCAGCCCCCTCCCCACTTCAGCCAAGGGTCAGAATCTACCACAGCCCCAATGTCACTGTGGGGAAGAAGCTCTAAAATGCTGCTGAAGGACCTGGTTCCACACTGGAGGTTAGGGGACAGATAGCAGTAACTGCTCAAGCACTAGACAGATATGCTCAGAGGGAAAAACGGAGAAGGGAAACAAAATCATCCACTTCTGAAAACCAAAATTCTACAATGCATGAAGACTCTATTATGTTAAAAGGCTTAAAAATAACACAAATGCTGTTCAACTTACAACGGGGTTACATTCTCATAAACCCGTTGTAAGTTGAAAACATCATGAAGTCAAAGATGCATTTAATACACCCAACCTGCCAAACATCCATAGCTTAGCCT